AAACCCCAAACCCTAAACCCCGTAGCCCTAAGCTGCTGCCTGGCAACAACAATGAGGGAGCCTGTGACTTTCAGCTTGTCGCCGGCCTGGCCAGCCACGTTTAGGGTTTTGGATTAGGTTTAGGGTTTAGGGCTTAGGGTTTAGGGTTTAGGGTTTAGGGTTTAGAGTTTAGGGTTTATAGGGTTCAAGGTTCAGGATTTTCGGGGTTTAGTTTACCTTAAAGGTGGAGGCTTTTAAGACGTTGTCTGCGAGCGTGGACTTGTGGCTACGGGTTCCGTAGAAATCGATGGTTCAGGGCTGGAGAGTTGTCTTTTGTCTGTTGGGTTGGCTGAAAACCCGACAGACAACCCCCCCACAGCCCAAAAACCCTAAGATCAAATCCTTGGAGCCCGAACAAACGGGGCAGCGCAACACGGAAGCCTCAATGATTTTTTGGCGAGCGGGATCCTTTTCGGGGTCTACGTTTAGATTTCTAGGCTAAGGCTGTAGGGAGTTGCGTGGGGTTTTGGAATGTCAAACTCTTTTGGGCAGGGCTTTGTGCTGTATGGATTGCTTGGGGCTGAATCAAAAGCTTATACCGGTTTTCGGCAGCAGCTTATCAGGGCGGCCGTAGTTTGAGGCGGAGAGGTCAGTGTTCGAGGTTACGGTACACAGAGTATTGAGACTGAAATCACTACCACTGTTTCCAGTGCCATCGGCTGTGTAGGCTATACTGGCTATACTGATTACCAGTGATACTGTTGTCCTCGTTACTGTCACTATGACACTATGACTATGACGATGACCCTAATAATGACTACCCTCATTATGACTGCGACAGCAGATATAACAAAAAAAGCTGGCTATGACCTTGAATATGCCTACGACTAATAGAACTCTCGGTGGTTAACAAGTTGTACGTACACAACCCCGAGGAACCTTCAAGTGGCAACCCGGGGCCTTGCACATCTCCGTGCATTCGTCCCGAACAATCACGTCCATGGTCAGGGGCATCGAGCCTTTGGTATTGATAAACTTGCGGTCATTACCCTGGCGGTCTACAAGGCTACTGGCATGGTCATAATTTCGAGTCTCCTGTTCGTTGGTGCCGTCATACGTTGTCATTAATTACATATTTAACATTTGTGCTCTCCATTATGACGTCCGCTGCTGCTGCTGCTGCTTCTGCTGCTGCTGCTGCTGCTGCTGCTGCTGCTGCTGCTGCTGCTGCTGCTGCTAGACAACATTGCGCTACTGGTACAATAAGCTGTGGCACTGCTATCACCTGCTTTAATTTGTTGTCCTTACGACTATTACTATCAGCGTAGTATTTACGCATATATTGCCCTTCCGGACCACAAGGCTTCATGCCTGCCAGCTAGTCTAGACGGTCAGACGCTCTCTCGTTTATTCTCCGGTGCAGTCGTGACCGCAAAACCATCATCCTGACAGTAGTCATGCATCGTGATGATCATCGCCCTGAGCCAGACCAGTACTCAGTAGGACTTGCTTAACTTGGAACTCTTTGGAGGATTCCGGGTTCTATGAGGGTTCTTTGCAGATTCTGTACCACTGTAATACATAATTTGAGGAAACCGCAAACACATGCGACCTGCCTGCAGGGATTTCGTTCTCGTTCTCCTGCACAGGCACATGCAGTCAACAAGATTTCTGGTAAATCAAAGTTGGTAGGCGTTTCCCTGCACTCGACTCAGTGCGGAAGGTGCTTGGGAATGCGTGCAATATTTCGCAAGTGCCCCGTACCAGTGAAGGTGAATAGATATCCTGATTTGCGCAGCAAACCACGCATGACCCATCCGAAACGTGCTTCCCAAGCTTTGGATTTGTTTGGCCCAGTCTGGCTTATCGAGCCCGTGGTATCCTGAAAAGTTAGGCCTAGGTAGCTTGAATTCACTCGTTTCGGTCAAGACTACATTAACTTCCTTCGGCAATGACGCAAGATTCGTGAAGCAGCGCACGACATTCCGTTAAACCACTAAATCCCACAGTCTTATAAACCATAAATGAGAGCCCTGTGACCCCTAAACCCCATCATCCCCCTACAGCCGAAACCCTAAACCCTAAACCCTAAACCCTTAACCCTAATCTGCGAGCCCCAAACCATTGCTCCTGTAGCCGAATGCGCTGCCACTCCCCCCATCGCGTCGAGCGGGAGTACGGCAAGAGCTTCCAATTCCTCAGAGTCGCCGACCCGCAAATCACAACACACGCAACCCTGAACCAGAAACCCGAAAGCCTATTTAAACCATAAATGCCCTGAGCCTTAAACCGTAAACTCTAAACCATATATGCCCTGAGCCCTAAACCCTAAGCCTCTATCCCTAATTTAAACCCTCAAGCCTGAGCCAACCTCAAGCCTTAACCTTAACCTAGCTAGGCCAGCTAGGCCTTTGGAACATTTTAGGTTCTCCCTTCTAGGGCCTAAGAGAATCTTATATCTACTAATGCTTTTCAGGCCTTAAAGGGCCAACCTAGCAACCCTAAATCTTAAACTCCAGACCCTAAAACCTAATCCTCTGTGCAAGGCTACAAACCCTAAACCCTAAAACCTAAACCCTAGACCCTAATCCTCTCCGAAAGGCTACCGTTCCAACAGCTTCGAGGAACCCTGGGCACTCAGAACTCCCAGAACCAAACCTGCACCAGCAAATAAGCCTAGGGTATATACGGGTTTACTGCAGAGTTTAGGGGTTTAGGGTTTAGGGTTTATGCAGGGTTTAGGGTTAACTGTAGAGTTTAGGGGTTAAGGGTTTAGGGTTTATACAGGGTTTAGGGTTAACTGTAGAGTTTAGGGGTTCAGGGTTTAGGGTTTATACAGGGTGTAGGGTTTACTGTAGAGTTTAGGGGTTCAGGGTTTGGGGTTTATGCACGGTTTAGGGTCTAGGGTTTACCGTGGAGTTCAGGGGTTTAGGAGAGTGGTCGAGTGGTCGAGTCCTAATTGATAATCCCTCCCCTCCCTTAGCAGGGATAACAATGATCCGAACAAGCTAGTGTTAGCGAACCTAGTAGATGGTGGGTTATTGCGATGCCAAGTAACCCGGGCAGATACAGGTTTCATTTCATGAAAGGTTGGTTTGAGGGTGTGTGGTTGAGGGTTGAAGGGCCCCAAACCACCTTGCGTAGCCGAAAACAGAATCGTGGCGATAACGGATTTGCGATGGATGCAGAGAGGGCTGGCTCGTTTCTGCTTGTCGGCTCCTAAACCCTTGAAACCCTAAACCCTAGATTAACTTAGATTAGGCTTGTGTAGGTTCGGCTTTGGCCGGGCATGGCGGGGTTAGGTTAGTTTAGGCTAGGCTAGGTTAGGGCTTCGGGCTTCGGGCTTCGGGCTTCGGGTTTAGGGTTTAGGGTTTAGGGTTTAGGGTTTAGGGCAACTTAGGTTCGGATAGCAGGCTTGGTTGGGTGGTGTTGGGTCGGGCCAAGCTCTGGTGTGGCTTCGTTCAGGTTGATTTTGAGTGACCATCTTTCATCAACTTTGCTTCAGTAAAACTAAGTAACTAGGTCAAGTTAGGTCAGGCTTGGTATTATTAGTGAAGTTTGGCTCCGCATGTTTCGGCTTGGCTTCACTTCGCTCAGATAAGAAGTCTTGTTAACAGTGGTCTTTGAGCTTTCTAGTTAGTAGAGCTGGCTAAGCCTCCACCGGAAACCCACACCTACAAACTCGACGTCGAGTACTTGGAGGTTCATGGGTAGTTGTAAGTACGGTTATAAGTCCCCTAATATGGGATGTAACTATAGTTACCCCTACTTATAACCCCACTTATAACTACCCATGAACCTCCAAGCAGGACCGTGTGACCTACTTGCTCCAAGCGGCGTTTGATTTCCGCAGTGCTTGGTCGGACACAGCGCTGGCATCGTGACCTTGAACTCCTGCAAATGAGCATGACACCTCTAACCCTAAGATCCCTAAACCCTAAACCCTAAACCTCTAACCCTAAGATCCCTGAAGCATTAAAAAAAAGAGGTTTAGTTGAAGGAAACTACAGGTCGGGAATTTAGGGTATATAGGGCTTCTATAAGGCTTCCATAAGGAACATAGACCTTCTATAAGGCTCCTAGAACGGTAACTACCCACCTGGAAATGTCCTAGAAGAAGGGTACTTCTAGGGCAAACTTGTTGGTAGCTTGTGGTCTAAATAAAGCCCCACAACATCAACTCTCAGCTTTACTGACCCTACGGTGCCGAAGAACCTCCCAACACCCACTATGGAGGGCCAGACAGCTTTCAACAATCGACGCCCAGCAGTCTAAATCTAAGCCCAAGGCTCTCCGCTAGATTAGAAATAAGTGCCGAGACCCACCCTAAGCTCGAACATGCTCAGTTAACATAAGGGCCTTCAGAAATAGAGTAGGGTGTTGGGGTAATGTAGGGGCCTTAATGATTAGAATAGGGTTTTGGGCTTCTGTACGGTATACTTATATTCAGGAACCCTCCTTTCAAGTTTTATTGGTTTTGTTCTTTAGGTTTCTATATATATATATATATTACTTAGACTCAGGAACCCCATGGAGTGGCCTGAGCCTCGCGGGTTTAGGGGTCTAGGGGTTTTGGGGTTGAGGGTTTAGGGGTTTAGCGGTTTAGGGTGGATTTCGGGATTAGGGCAAGGACCCCCCAAGTGCCCTTTAATGGAGGGGTCCGTAGTTGTGGGGGTCTAAGCAGGGCGGACTGAACTGTAAGCTGCCGGCACAGGGCGAATGCACAGGGGCCTGAATAATTAGAACTGGGATTTTGTTTTGTAATACGATATGCTTACATATTCAGGACCCCTTAATTTAACAGTTTTCAGGCTGCAGATCATATGTGGAGTAAAGGAAGTAATCTAGATACTTTAGAACGGGGGAATAAACAAACTACAAATGGTTTTGTAGTCAGTCCCTTGTTCTCAAACGGTAATTTTTCTGGTTCACAGCAAAACAGCAAAACACGCTTCTTGTGCCACGTCCTCGAAACCCTGTAAGCCCAAACAGCTATAGAACAGCATGAAAAGCTCAACTCAACCCTAGACCCTCCGTGTCTTACAGAAAACTAGGAAGCCGCCAGCCCACCCACCCTCCCGTCCCTTCGCTTGCCCCCCAGTTTGCCCCTCCCCCTCCCCGCTTCACCAGGCCTGCTTGATTCCACTGACCTGACCGAGACGAAGCGCTCTGTTGAGAATGAGGACTGGTTCAGGGCTTCGTGGCCAAGTGGATTCTCTAAGGTCAAGGGCAGGTTAAGGGCTGTAAGCTAAGGTTTCGGGTCGTAGGTTTGTTAGGATTAGGGTTTAGGGTTTGTTAGGATTTGGGTTGAGGTTGTAAGATAGGGCTTATGTGTTCGAGCCTGTGTTTCCAAACCTTAAGCCCTTACAAACAGCCCTAAACCCTAAACCCTAAACCCAAATCCCGCAACCTTGGCTTACAGCCCTTAACCTTACCTAGAGTCTCCATTGTACCTTTTAGGATCCTTAACATAGGGTGTAGGGGTATAGAGTTCGAGCCGCAGGGCCTTAGGGCCGCAGTCGCCAGACCGTGATGAGTGGTTCCCTTCTGCCCCCTGCTGTGCCCAAAACGCCCGAGAGGCCTCATCCCCCAACCCTACTTGGAGGTTCATGGGTAGCTGTATGTGGGGTTATAGGTCCCCTAACATGGGTCATAACTAATAGTTACCCTACTTATAACTCCACTTATAATTGCCAATGACCCTCCAAGTAAGCCCGAAGCCCAAAGCGCTGAGGCCGCAAAAGACCCACGATCTCACGCCTTGTCACAAACCATGCACCAGGGTTGTTCTCCTAAATCAGGGCCCCCTGCCTCAGGCCCCCAAAATACTACGGCACCCTTCTAAAAAGGGAGCCTACTGCAAAAAGGACACGGACTCTAATTCCCTAAACCCTAAACCCAAACCCCTAAACCCTGAACCCTAAACCCTAAACCCTAAACCAAAAACCCTAATGTAGAGAACTACCCCACAACTCCGAAGCCCAAACCCGCCTCTCGCTTGCACTCGCCGCACTGCCACGAAGCGACCAGCAGCTCGGGCTTGATATCCTAGGCTAGGGTTTAGGGTGTAGGGTTTACGGTTTAGGGCTTAGGGTTTAGGGTTTAGGGTTTAGCGTTGTTAGGGATCTATATAAGGATTCCTCTAAGGAATACTGATACTTGCTTCAGGGTTATATTACTATAAAGGCTTACACGGGTTTCGGCTGCAGGGCTTTATGAATCATGGTGTAACGTTTAGTGGTTTTGGCTGCAGGGCGTAGCGTTTAGCAAGGATTTTGCCAGTAGCTTTCATCGGCTTCCGGGCTATGTTCAATGCTTTCAAGTCGTTTTAGGGTTTGGGGCTTAGTGTTTTTGCTCACGTCTTGGAGGGTTGAGGATACCGCCGGCAAACTATGATGAAGCCAGTACCCACTGAAACAATGTGCCTGGCGGAAGACACGTGCAATTCCCCGTTGCAAGAAACATTGGCTTACCTGTAAGTTTTTCCGATGAGCCCTCAACCCTCTGTGATCATGCCGGAATTGGAGACCACGGACTTCGAGAGCTTTGCGAGGTCGACAGACCATGTCCCAGCGAACAAGAGGACCTTCAGGTCAGTTCGGAAGCTTCAAGCGGAGGTCCAGCACCTGCGCGACAATACTGCTCTCCAGGTGCTCAGCGTCGTCGATGGAAAGGGTCTTTAAGGTAGAGGGTTTAGGGTTTAGGGCTTTAGGGTGTAAGGCAAAGGGTTTAGGGTTTGGGTTTTAGGGGTTGAGAGGTTGAGGGTTTAAAGTTTTCAGATTGAGGGTGAGTAGAAGATTGATGGCTAGTTCGGGGTGGTTAAGCATATAGGCTTGGGAATAACGACCGCTTTTTTCGGGGGCTACAAGGCCTAGGGTTAAGGTTCGGGTTTAGAGGGGATCTTTGGAATCGCAGTCTTTGAAACCCGACATTAAGGGAAACTAAAGGGGGGAGCATAGGGTAAAAAGGGCTTCTATAAGGCTTCTATGAGGTATATAGACCTTCTATAAGGCTCCTATGACGGCAACTACTTACCTGAAAATGTCCTAGATTCCATTTCCGAAGAGAAGATGGGAGTCCTAACATGACCTGTGCCTCTGGGGACTGCTGCAGGGCGCGGTACTTGAAGGATCCGGGGGACCTGGTAACTAGGGTTGTTAAGCAAGGTGGCTCGATTTCTACATACTTACAGCTATCCCGAACTTATAACCTTCCACTGACGAAGTCCCATGATCCACCAAGTACCTCCAAGAACAAACCCGCGTGTCATCACCTTCCTGATGGTTGGAGGGCCCAGGAACGTCGATCAGAAGGATGGTTCTAAACAGTAAACCCTAAACTGAACAGTATATAAACCCTAACTCTAAACCCTAAACCCTTCTGATTCAAGACAGAACCCTAAAGACCCTAAAGCCTGTATCCATTGTACCTAGGCCCTAAACCGTAGACACTAAAAACCCTAAACCCCTAAACCCTAAACCTGAAAGTGACCACTCAAGCGTGTATCCATTGTAACGCTACCCCAAACCCTAAACCCCTAAACCCACAAATTAAGCCCTAAACCCTAAAGCCTACATGAAAACAGGGATTGAACAGACTTCCGACTTTCCTGGGATGGGGCGTAGCGAGCAGGGCTTGGAGGAGCCTGGTTCCTGCAGCCTCTGCATCTTTAGGGATTTAGGGTTAGGGTCTTAATGCTTTAGGGGTTTAGGGTTTAGGGTTGATGGAAACAGTTGGTGCAAGGGTTTGAAGTAGAACAGAGTGGAGATTATTGTCAAACTTTTTAGAATACTAGGGAATGGTATTGGCAATTCGTCACTATTATGCAGCTACTGAATAGCATCGTTACGGCAGCAGTACTACTGTTAGCTGTGCAGCTGCCAGCTTCCAAATTTGTTTCGCCATGTCCAACACTTGGACATGCTAAGTTGAATTCCTTCGGAAACTGGAAGGTGTTGTCTACAAGGTTGACTGTGGCTAATTAAGATCCACTAGCCTCTGAATCGGGCTAACTATACCACGCAAGGATTGACAGGCTTGGCATTGCTTACTGTTCGTGTCATCGTCGTCAAGCTTGTGCTAAACAAGCTTCTAGGAGGATTCTCAACGCTGCAGGTGGTTTACACAAGTGGCATTGCTAGCGCTATGCCGACGATCCACGTCAGTACTCTGATATTCGGCCGGGTAGCCATCGCTTGTAAGTTGCAGTATGTTCTGATTGTGTCTTGTCGCAGTGACAGTTACTGGCAGAACCTGTGTTCATGTTAGCCTACAGCTCTTGCCAGCATGCATTCAGAGTGACAAGGCGGGAAATCGTGAACCGCTTCTAGAAACGATGCTTCTGGTGATGAAAAACCTCTCGAGGACGATATGCACGAAGTCTCCTGCTGGATGTTCAATAATGTTCGGCGCCTTAGCCGCCTTCTGTAGTAAGTATGGTATGATTACCTAGGGAATCTAGGGACTCTAAGGGGGTACTTTCCCTGGGGCAAAACTGAATAAGATGGTTTTTATAATAGTTATGATGGTTAGATGCCCGCGCAGCAAGCAGTCTTTTCATTGTACCGATCAGTTGGGACGAGCGTCAGTGGTGCGAGTGACGGTGCCGCAGATGGTCACCAGCCTGGACACGACGGATCCAGCAAGGGGTGAAGAAGCACTGTTTAGGGTTTAGGGCTACGGGTTAAAATTCTAGCATCCGACATCATCCCCATATTCTGGCTGGTTGGTTAGCAGGTTGCATAGGAAATCACCCGACATGCCCCACAACCTCTCCCTGCCCTTACACCTACACGAACACACACACACACACACACACGAACACGCATTTTGATCTTGCTCTCTCTCTCTCTCTCTCGCTCAACACTTGATGACTTGTATATACATATCTGTATCTCACACACTTATACCGAAGCATACACATACAATGTGCACATACATGTGCATACACATATAGACATATAAACATATGTATATATGAACTATATATAAACACTAAAAGATAAAACAACAAAACAACAATAAGCATAACATATCATATATATATATATATATGTATATGCGTGTGTGTGTGTGTGTCTGTATCGATCGATCGACGAACACATCTTCGAAACTTCGGCTCGGTCTGGAGACACAAGGGCATGGGCTAGGGTTTAGGGTTTAGGGTCTAGGGTTTGGGGTTGAAACACCTTGTTGATCTGTTGACCTTCTTGCTATACGGAGCTCGAGGTCACAATAGGTTCCCTGAAAGCTGACATGGTCAAGGGAAGTTACTACAAGATGGGCTGTCAACAGGGACAACAAACTCGACCCTCCCAGCACGACATACTAGTACATCCGTACCATTCAGACAAGGAGCCGCCCAAAAATAGTATAGGCAATTATTCAGATCAGTATTCCGACCACCATATATGAGTCCCCTGAACCCTAAACCCGAAGCCCTCAACCCTAAACCCTAACCCTAAACCCCAAGCCCTAAACCTAAACCCTAAACCCCCCTTCCCAAAAAAACACCAACAAAAAACAACAAAATACAAACCATGAGGCCCGGCCTTCCTAGAGTCTCGGTGCGGAGGTCCCGGATTCCAGTGAATTGGTCAGTTCCGCTGTCGCAGAAGGCCACGACGTACTTGAGCCTTGGGATTCACAAAAAATAATCCCACAAAGTAGTATTGGTATTTATATAGGCGTCTATAGTAAGATTTGGGGTTTGGGTTCAGTTACGTTTTCCTTTGAAGGGTCTTCGAAAGATCTTTGATGCTTCGAGAGCCAGGGTTTGGAAATCAAAACTTACTTTCGCTGGTAAGAGTGTTATAACCTTAACGGTCCAAGTACCTATTATTTAAGGGCTTCGGGGCCTTTTGGGGTACATAAAACCACAAATAAGGACTACTTGGACCCTTAGGGTAAGGATCCACAGATAAGATTAGTATGTTTACTATAGTTAAAACCAACCAATATTAGCGGACTTAAAACCCTACTTAGAACTACCAATGAACCTCCAAGTAAGGATCCACAGATAAGATTTTAGGACACAAGATGCGCCAAGCAGTGGATCTCCGGGCCTAGGGATTAGAGGCAGGTCTCTATCATGCAGCTTAATGCAGGAGCCTCAATCATCAGAATAGGGTTTGGGGGGTTCCTTTAAAGGTTCCTTAAAGGGTTCTATAAGGAATCTACTATACGGGTTTAGGGTTCAGGGGCCTAAAAAATTAGAATAGGGTTTGGGGGTCCATTATACTCTCTTGATAAAAAGGAACCCCCCAAAAGACTGTAGGTGATTATTTTAGGCCCCTACATTATGGGCTTCAGGGGTTTGAGCCGAGGATATTCCTGCACCCCAAAATATCCTCCTTTTGGGAGACTTCTTATTGAACGGTTTTAGAGTTTAGGGTTTAGGGTTTAGGGAAATCGTAATGGGGAGCCCGAACAAGGAAGGTCTTGAAGTTATGGAATGAAAGTCCCCTCCGGGAGTCATTCAAAAGCACATGAGGGCTGTAGGATGACATGAGAATCCGCGTCTCGACTTGATCCCAAGGACAACCGGAAACCCAGGATCCATAGATATCACTCACGGGCTCTTATGAACTTATGAACCCTTTACCTAGGACACTGTGCATGTCATGTACTACAAGCATTCCTGCGAGAAGAACTGCCAAGGAGCTCATCCACCTTCGCTACCTGGCAAGCTCTAAAGTCAGTCAAAGGCTCCTTCTTATCCAGTAGTGCAGGATGGTGGCGCATGTGATGACGATGATGATGATGGTGATGATGATGATTCGGGGATGGTGGCGATGATTTTGTTGACCCAGATGCGGCTGCCTCTGACTATGGTGATGACTATGTTGACAATGTTGATGATACTGGAATTTTTTTTGTCTTGTCGGGGCCAAACACCATGCCCACTAGCTGCTCGCGGGCTTCAGTTGCTTCATGATTCGCGTCAGCTTTGCTGAGTGTGGCACTCCTGGAACAGAACCTTGCTGCTTGCCAGGCAGCATAGAAACGAGACAGCAGCCCGAGGGTATGCAGCATAACAAAGCAAAATTCACCCTATCGCTGAACGCGCGCTAAACGGTTCCGGGCTTCAACGGTTTGGGTTTCGGAGCCCTAAACAGCAGGAGCAGCAGAAGTCTCAGCGATGGACGCAGCGGCAGCAGAAATACTAGAAGTAGTTGCGCTGGAAAAGGCAGCAGCAGCAGCAGCAAAAGTAGACCCTAAACATCCCTAAACTCTAAACCCTGAACCCTAAACCCTAAACCCTGAGCCCTAAATAACCCTAAACCCTGAACCCTAAACCTTAAACCTTAAACCCTAAACCCTAAACCCTGAAGCCTAAACCCGGAGCCCTAAATAACCCCAAACCCTGAACCCCAAACCCTAAACCCTGACTGTAAACCCTGA